CCTACATGTGTCTTAGGGATGTTTGGAAAGCGGCTGGCTGCACCTTCAATGTAAGTATTCACATTTCCAGTTTCCTTTAGCCATTTAATGCAAGCCTGGCAGTATTTATCTTTCCATCTCCCAGTAATAGTAAAAAGGAGTTCAATCATGGTCAGATGAAACCTAGGATCCTCTAACAACATGTGACTGTTGAAAATTTTAAAAACTTCATCAGGTGTTTTTTCACAAATAGCAATTTCCATATCCAAAAAATGTCTGGTTTGGGAACACACTCTATCTCCATTTGATCCAAGGTGATTAATCATCTGAGATATTTTTTTACTCTTAATAATCCCCTGAGGATTATTTATGGGTGGCAGTGTCACCAAAGCACCAGCAGAGATAAGCCTTTTCATGATATCCTCCCTGTCTTCAAAGGCTGCAACTTGCAGTGGTGTGGGTATCTCTTGTTGCCATGAAGCACTCCTTCCATCTGGATTAGCTTTTGCCTCGAGCAACAGAGCCACAAAATAAAGTGGTGCTTTGGAATACGAGACATAATGCAAAGGGACCCACTGGAGTTCAGAAGGTATATTTGGGTCTGCACCCTGATGCACAAGGTAAGAACAGATATCTGTGTTGTGATTTACAACAGCGGAGATCAGTGGGGTTATATAATCACACCATTTGCTACAAGGGTAAAGTTCATTAACATTATTGTCCTTCAGTAATTTCTTGAGCTTTCTGAGGTCATTGTTATTTATGCACTGGATTATAGGATGTGTCTCTGTTATTGGGGATACTGCCAGATGTAGCTGAGAGGTGATATTCATGGTTTTGCTTCACATTACCTGCGAACGAGAAAGCACTGTCATTAACCAAGTAATATAAAACCAGCTTTACCTAAAATACCTAAAACCTAAAATCCTTAAAAATGGATTGGATGTTTATTTTGATTTTTTAATAGTTGTTTATAAATGTCTACAGAAGCCTAAGATTCTATTTAGACTACAAATGCACAACATCTTTGTGGTGTTTCGACAGAAGAACGGAGACGGCTTGGTTTAGAATGGAACGTGTATTCAGCAGTAGTTAGCCATCCAAAACGTATCACCATACACTTCTCTTCTTCTATCCTTCTTTCACTATTAGTCACAGAGCCCCCTACTGGTAACTGAGTATATGTTCATATTCAGTCCCCCTTGTAAAGCAACCCTTCACCATCTTAGCAGTGTATGTAAACATAACAATCTTGTTACAGTGCAAAACAGTTGCGTTTAAAACAAGCTGCATCTAAACTATCAAATGCCGCACTCTTTACACATGCCTTAAGTATGTATGGGTGGTGCAGTCAATAAGTTCTCTTTCAGTTATCTATAGGCTACATGACAAATTTTAAGAAAACTGTTGCAGGATTGTAAGAAACTTTACTTTTGGTGTCAGTGCTGGGTGTCTGCTGTTTAAGTAAGGATCTCTCAATACAGAATGATACTAGAGAAATTTACTGTTGGGATTAGTGATGGGATTTCCGGCTCTTTTTAGAGAACCGTCTCTTTCGGCTTGGCTCACTAAAAAGAGCCGGCTCTCAACCGGCTCTTCAGGTTGTTTTGTTGCTTTAATTAATTTATTATTAACAATATACAATTATGCACAAAAGAAATTATTAATGGAAAAAAAAAAACGTGGTTTTATTTATATAAATATATACGGTGGGCCCTAGAGACAAAGCACGTACAAACTCCAAAACACATTTCTAGCGTTAACTGACCTTCTAAAACAGAGCTACCTAGATCACTTAAATTACACCATTGAAAGTATATGAGTATTGTTTGTGTATTTATACACAAGCACTCATATATATTCAAATAATTAAAAAAAAAAGTTCATTTACCTGTTACCACCACACACCAAATCTGGTCGCTGGTACTTCCTGGCTTGTGTAGCCACTAGTTAACAAAAGCTCAACACTGTGCCTAGCATCCTGGAGCACTTCTGTTGTGTTTTGTATGTGCGTCGGAGTTTGTACGTACTTTGTCTCTAGGGGCCACCGTAAATATACTTTTATTTATTCACTCCACATAAAATGTAATAAATAAATCATATAATACAAAAAACAACTATTTACATTTCAACTTTTAACTATTTAAATTTTCAGCTTTTTCCTTTTAAACAAATGTAAAGTGAAGCAACACAAAACACTGCAAATCACAACACAATTAAATATAAATTAAAATATGAAAACAAAAAGAAGATGCATATTCTCTGTCATATGGACCTGCATGAATAAACTTTCTGAATCCTTTATCATCTGCAACTAAAAAATAGTTGTGGATGATTACTACACCTTTCTAATGTGACGATGTTGTCCCTGGCTCTCTTTCTCTCTCTCCCTCCTGCTCTTTTCCTGTGCTACTGCAAGCCTAACTACTGCCCCTCCCCCCTCTGCCCAGCGCAAAGCACAAGGCTCACGTGCGGAGTGAAGCGGAAAAAAGTGTAAGAGAGAGAGGGTGAGAGAAAGAAGGAAAAAAAACGGATCCCAATAAGGAGTCGGTTCGCGTCATTCACTTCAAAGAGTTGGCTCTAAGAGCCGTTTCGTTCGTGACCGACACATCACTAGTTGGGATTCAGACGTTATTCTTCCTTCACATTTCCTGTTGAATGTTCTTTTTTAAATGTAAAGACAAATATTTGTATGATTATACACTAGGCATATGCACACTTGCCAAAACATCCGGCTCAATATGACTGAATAGGAATCTTAACTAGGCTGAACACTGAAGGCGGTAAAACGTCAGAGCAACACGTACGCTTTGAAGAATTATCCTAGTCTTAAGTAAACTTTAAATCCTTTGACGTTGAGTTAAAACAGTAGGTCTACAATGTGTACTGTTTTTACGCGAACATAAGGATTATTTTGCAATACCGTTAGAAGAAAACTGTAAGAGAAATAACTTACCGTGCCAAAGATGAGCAATTCCAACGCGGCATCTGAGCGATATCTTCCTGGTTCTTGAAGCGGTTCTTCCTCTTTTACGGGTCTTCCGGTTTCAGCAGTTTTTTTTTTTCAAACTTTATTGAAATTATAAAGCGAACAGTCAGTCATTCCAGTTCAGTTTGTACAGTA